TTGTCTTGGAAATCCCCAAGCGTAGTTCTTAAAAATCTTTTGTACCATTTTAAGTTAGCGCATATATCCTGTATAAAGGACCAAAAAATTACGAAATGTAACCGCGAGATTCTGGTGGAGTTCCCGATATCACTGTTAACCATGTTATATTTTAAAAAGCGCTACCGGATTGAAACTCGGAATACGCACAATGTAGTGAAAGAGAGCCTATTTAATACAGTCACAGCTCTAACGCACCGACACCTTGCGTCTAGATGCGTACAGGGATTATTTAAGTAGACCATGGATTCATTGTGTTTAAGCGCCGTGTTTAGGACACAGGACCGGGTCTAAAAATTATCGACGAATGTTATCACTTGCTTTAAGCTTTCGGTCATGAATCACAGTATAAATCATTCCGTTTTTGCACCTTATTTACCTCATTTCTCTACAACATTTTGATCAAAGCTTCAGTCATTTTGTATAATTCTTTTGTGTATCCAGGGTCAGGTTGTTGAATATCGTTAGGTCGTCGCTGAGGGGTAACTGCTTCTTTTAGAGAAAATTTTGGATAAAATTAATAGCATTGTATGCCATAATTTCCCCATCTTATACTTGTAGGTTCTTCTCAACCAGTGCCCTTCCTGAAAAGTCTTATCGGTTCCTATCTTTTCGGGTTCGCTACTTGCTGGAATCAATAGCGGCTCTACAAATTATTCCCTTATGGCCTTGTGAGTGCGATCGTGAAATCGATGAAATTGTGGTGTGCACTAAAAGGCGGTATTTTTCCAATTGCAAGATATTAATACCTGAGAGTCAAACTGTACTTGAGTCGTAGCGCCTTTTTGTGCTATCACAAATTTTGATCCAAAATGGCAGATGCAGAATGTTTCAGTTGGCTCAAGTTTTTAAGTACATGAACAACGCTTGCGGTATTTCTGTAAATAAACGCTTAATACACATTTGTCTCAAATATTTGTTCTTGCGTTGTGTCATTTCGTACTCAGCTGGTAGCGCCCTTTCCACATAACTATTTCATATCAAATCAGCGTTACATTGCATAATTCGCGTAGTTTCTTTTGTTTTCCTTTGAAGCGGCATATTCTACAGAGGATCTGCGTACCTGTTATGTATATTTGCTGAAATTAATAAATTCCGTGTACTCGAATTAAATCTGCGATAGCGCACTTGTACTCGGCTGTGACAGGTCCGATGAATCCATTAAGGTTCTTCTCGGAAACTTCTTTTGGCGGACTTAACGCAGTATGGGTAATCAGAGTACTGCGATATTATTTTAAATAGGGGTCTTTTGCGGTTCTAGCTTTGCGCTAGTACGTGAAAATCAGGTCCTTCTCTACGCACGCGTGCATGCAGTACTTCATTTGCAGTGGGTCATTCGGAATTTTTCCGATAGAGCATTCTATTGCAGTACGTAGAGATAGTTTGTTCACTTTTTTGTGCCTCCCGTTTTGATTAAGACTATTCGGCAGACATATTCAGGATTAATGACAAGCTTTCGTGCGAAATAGACTTCCTCGTGTTTCTGTTTAACATGGGATTCCAAGCCATGATCGCTGTCCGCTTTCCAAAACGCGGAACAGAAATTATACCCGTGCACAAAGCGAAGCAACTTTAAGCATTCACCTAAAGCAGAATTTTTACTTCAAAAGAACATCACCGAAAATACAAAACTCGTTTTATCACATTGAGGGCAGAAACAAAAATGTGAAACAAAATCAATTCAAAATTCACCAGGAATCAGGACGCACTGTCAACAAACTATCATAATGAAAAATACCGCCTAGCCGAAAACCGGGAATCAAAAACACCGTTCATAAATTACTGGATAATTCGTGTTCATACCAGCTGCGAAACAACAGCGCACTGTGAATCGAAACGGTATTTTGCGCCCTGCAGTCCAACGTGAGCATTCCAAGGAAACATGTAGTGTCCACTGTCTGTTTTCCATGATTGTGATTATGCGCTAGCTTTGCCTCCTTTCGTGCGAAATCTTCAATGAAAATTGCTGACTAAGTAAATCGTTCTGTCGCTGCATCTTCAACCGTGTCATTTACAAAACGTAGACGACCGCCAGTCGGTTTTCATTAATGCCATTATCATCAACAGAGAACAGCTACAGCCGTCTAAGAACCGAGAATCGGATCATCGCCGGGAACCAGTACAAATCGAACGCGCGCGCGCACACGCAGCATGCACGTCTAAGAACTATGCAAGAAAACAACTTATCATCAAAAACAAAATAAAAACATGACGACCAAAATCGTGTCAGGTAGTCTCAAGTCTCACAGAAATGTATCAACTTAACAACATGCTAACTAAAATTACAAAAATGTAACGGCAAGCCCACAAAAACAACAGAATAATCAAAGCAGTCATCGGGTAAAATGCTACAGGTTTCATTATGACATGAGGCAGATAAAATATCACACATAGCGATCACGAAGTGTGAGAAGCACACACGAAAAATACGACCGGACAACGATACACCTCCTATGGCGATGAGTCGATCAAGGAGCTGTTTAGGCTGTCGTGTCCTGCATCCATTCGCAGTCGTCGCATCACAGTCATCGTCGTGCGCAAAAAAATCTGGTCACGACTTCGAGTGGCTACCCATGGTTAACACCGGAAACACTCACAAGTCACTGGTTACTCACTCATTCATTTGTTTGCTCGCCCGAGCTCAGCTACCGCTTTCTTTGCGATTGTCATTGTTGTCGTCGGATGGAGGGTCAGCTTCGTCAGCGAGCGACGTCCGTGGCGAAGCGGTGTCGTTCGGACTGTCCACAGCACGGGAGTACTGCAGTGACTTAGCTACCTCACTGTACATATCGGCCTCTGCAGTACCGTTCGCCTTCGCGGTGTCGTTCTTTGCCGCAGCCGCCAAACTGAACTGCGTCTGCAGCCAGCTAAACAGGCGCTTTTTGGCCATGCTGTCGGTCACCATCGGTAGAGTGCCACTAGACGTGGTGAACAGATTTATTTGTTTCGTGCCGGTCTGCGAGGTAGTGCGAGGGGGTACCGAATTGGAACCGGCGGTGAAATCTGAGGAACCGACCGGCTGCGAGCGATACGACGAGTTGTGACTGACCACGCACTTGCGCATGTGCTTCTCCAACGTACTGTGCACGGAAAACGGCATGTAGCAAATACAGCAATGATATATCTCCTAAACGACAAGATTAA